CAGCTTCTCCCCTCCTCCTTCTCCACCAGCTTCTCCCCTCCTCCTTCTCCACCAGCTTCTCCCCTCCTCCTTCTCCACCAGCTTCACCCCTCCTCCTTCTCCACCAGCTTCTCCCCTTCCTCATTCTTCACTAGCTTCTCCCTACTCGAATTATTACCGTGCACATAAACTGGGTTTTACGGTCGTAAAACTAGGTTTTACGTCCTAAAACCAGGTTTTTCGAATATTGGCACAAACCACGTCCCAAAACCCGGTTTTACGTGCTAAAACCCGGTTTTACGGTCGTAAAACTAGGTTTTACGTCCTAAAACCAGGTTTTTCGAATATTGGCACAAACCACGTCCTAAAACCTGGTTTTACGTCCTAAACCCGGTTTTACGTCCTAAAACCAGGTTTTTCGAATATTGGCACAAACCGCTTTCCATACTACACATGGCACGTGTTGGTAGTATATATACTAGCCCAGTGACCATAGCTCCACCTGTGGGCCGACATAGTTCAAATCTATTATCACGTAACAATAGCCACACTCCATATTAAATTTATCATGTTAACAAAATATAGTTACCTTCGGCAGTTACTGGGCATGCGCGAACCCTCATATTGGTGTTTAAAGTAAAGAAGAAATTTTGACAAATTTCCTGTGAAAAAAACTGTCGCGGTTACACTATATGATTTGGGTCCCTCTTATTTATGAGGCGAATCACCCTAACAGATATCATTACAATCTAATCGCTAAAATATCCGCATTTACAATGTTGGGCGAATGTTCTTAGCCTTTATAAGCGCCTTATAGCGTTATTAAGCGCATGCGATCAGGAAGCAGATTGTACGTATGATTTCGGCCGAAGAAAATTATCTTGACAGTCAACGGCGACCGACGTCCGTGCGCCATTTTCATGTGCAGGAGTATAAGTCGGAATCGTGGCTCGATGCTGCGAGCAAAGTTAATATTATAGAACGGGTTTTACCGTGCCCGCGTCCCGTGGCCCCGTCTGACTCAAGTTTGAGCGTATAAGATCGTATAAGAGCGTATAAGATCGGCCGAAGAAAATTATCCTGGCAGTGAACGGCGACCGACGTCCGTGCGTCATTTTTATGTACATTAGCATAGGTGGGAATCGTAGCGCGATGCTGCGAGCAAAGTGAAGCATGTAGATCCGATTTTACCATGCACACGTGCCGTCGGCCCGCCCGCGACTAGTTTGAACGTCGTATGAGAACGGCCGAAGAATATTCTGTTGGCAGTCAACGGTGACCGACGCACGAGCGCCATCTGGACGTACATTAATATCGGCATAGCCGGGAACCCAGGGCATTGATGCTGCGAGTCAGGTGAATATTATAGACCGGATTTTACCAAGCACACGTGCTGTCAGCCTGCCCGGCACTGGTTTGAACGTATAAGAATGGACGAAGACAATAATCTTGGCAGTCAACGGCAACCGACGTCGGAGCGCCATTTTCATGAACATTAATTATAGCATAGTCTAGTAATCGTGGCGCGATGCTGCGAGCAAATTGAAGCATGTAGATAAGATTTTACCATGCACACGCGCCGTCGGCCCGCCCACGACTAGTTTGAACGTATCAGAACTACCGAAGAAAATTCTCTTGGCAGTCTACGGTGACCGACGCACGAGCACCATCTGCACGTACATTAATATCGGCATAGCTGGGAACCCATGGAGTGATGCTGCAAGCAAAGTGAATACTATAGACCGGATTTTACCAAGCACACGTGCTGTCAGTCTGCCCGGCTCCGGTTTGAACGTATAAGAACGGCCGAAGAAAATTATGTTGGCAGTCAAAGCGGCGACCGACCTTCGTGCGTCATTTTCACGTACATTAGCATAGGTGGGAATCGTGGCGCGATGCTGCGAGCAAAGTTAATATTATAGATTACTAATGTACATAGAAACGGCGCTCACGTCGTTCGTCGCCCTGGACAGCGAGGATAATTTTCTTCGGTCGATCTCATACGCTCAAACTTGACAGGGTTCAGCCCGCGGCACGTGTGCATGGTAAACGCCGTTTTCCGACATTCACTCTGCTCGCAGCATCGCGCCACGATTCTTCACCTATCGATAACACGCCAAGATCTCCGCATCTCCAAACTCTCTGCATTAGTATTGGGCCAGGAGAACGATAGGGTGTATGGGATGCTCGCTGATCTAGCAAAGAGTTAGAGTACTTGTGTGTTGCAGATGAGCATTTGACGGGCATTTACAGGTGATTAGGCCAAAACCAAATATAGGTGTAGTTACGGTTTCCCGACCGACCCTATTTATTCCCAGCGACCCTAAACATTTGATTGTCCATTTTCTTTAAATTAAAAAAAAAAATGAATTGGACAGTTCCTGCTTCAAAATGCACAACGCACACCCTTCGGACATGGTTCGTAAATAAAATATTTCAAGAAAATAAAATGTTTTCCCTATCTACCTACCCTATTTTTTTTCGGCATGTAACGGTAACCACACATATATTTTGTTTTGGCCTTATAGGCGCAAATAGAGTAGAGAAACATTAAGACTTTGGTAGTAAATACATTTTGTGTTTATTTATCTTTTTTTTATAGAGACGTTTCAAGTGCCTGTGGTTACCACAGGCACTTGGAACGTCTCAATAAAAAAAAATGTAAACACAAAATGTATTTACTACCAAAGTCTTAATGTTTCTCCAGGGTTCTCCAAGGGCACTTATAGCCTAGCTATCGTCGAGCCCCGCCATCCTAAAATGCACCCGCCACGCTAAATATAGCCGCCATGCTGGTGTATACACAAGAAGTTCAAACAATTAATACACGTTGGTTTCGATGCTACGGGTACGGCAGTCCCACACACAAGTACAAACAGTCTCCCTATCCCTAACCCTAACACTAACTCTAAACCGACTCGGCTATCTTATATACGCGTGTTATAGTACCAAACTTAATCTATGGTGTATAACCTTTTGCTTTAAATATTTTGCATTTGAACTGACAATCAATCCCAACCAACTGGTGTAGGCTAGCTGGCACAATAATGTTCATTTTCATACTTCAAATCCGAGTGTTTTCTAGCTCGTCAAGAAATCTTAATCGTGAATTAAATCGTGAATTAATTTCCAACGGCATTATTACGGGGCAGGTAACGGGTGTCAAACTCATTTTGGTTCATGGGCCTCATACAGCCCATCTGATCTCAAGTGGGCCGGACCAGTAAAATAATGGCAAAATAACCTACGTCAACTCCAAATCTTTAGCTTTGTTTTTCAGTACTATGCTTTATTAGATCAGCTGCCGTCTATCTGCCGTAAATATGAGTAATTCAATGAAATTATACATGAGTATGCAGCAAAGAGAATGTGTCCACGTTGAATCTGTCCTGGGTAACTTCTGAATCCCTCTCATTTATGAACAGAGTGATGGTGGTAGTACGTCCTCATATCAACTTACTCTCATGTATCCACTCTTTTTTTGAATGTGGAAATTCAACAAAATGGGATTTTTGGCAGTTACTAATCAATTTGCGCGTTGGGCATACCAATACACTGTAATTGCAAATGATGTAGAAGACTTTTATATCAGGGTTTAGCCAAGTCTAGAATCTGCCGTAAAGTTGAGTATTTGCGTAAAATTATACACTTAAATTCAATAGAGAGAGTATGTTTACAATAAATCTGTTGCCGTTACACTAGATGCATATATCAAGAGGCTTTGAAATGAAAAGTCCAACCCATTCGTACATGCTGTTATATAATAATAACTTTTTGTCATGTACACCATATTACTATTATGTCCCAGGGGTTCTAAGTTGTGCTGTCATATAAATGTCATACGTAACAGTTTTTTCGCATGCTTATTATTTTATTAGACTAATTTCTAAATATTGATATTGTGTGCAATGTTATTGTCGATTTTTACCCAATGTTCCTATTGTGTCCCATTATTAGATTTTAGTAGCCCGATTTTACCCAGCGCAGCGGGTACCCGCAGCTAGTTTATAAATAAATCTATATATCCGTGGATGAGAGCACGAGAGACTGGACGGTGCTGCCCCCACCACACGCCGGGCGATACTGGTACTACGATACAGGCATGCTACGCGACTAGACTGGTACTCGCTCCCACTTCTCGGCTTAGTTACTTGCTGGGGTCGCCCATCGAGTAAACCAGAACTAAGCCGAGAGGTGTGAGCGAGCACCAGTCTAGCTACGCGACAAGTTCGAACTTGCTGCCTGCGTGTCAGTGCGTGATCGCGGATAATAAACTCAGTAAATTTGCGAATGTTCGCCGATGTTGTAGTATAGGGACTTGTAGTGCTAAAAGCTCAGTGTAGTTTCGTCGCTGAAGAAGAAGGACGGCGTACATAGAAACAGGTAAAAATGTCGTAGTACGTAGTATTGACATAGTAATTAGTAATACTTTAATAGCTACAGTACAGTACGTATACGGTATATCATGGTACATGTGCCGGTTTAGCGACAGGTTAACTCGCTGTCTCGCTCATATCACCGCTACAGTGGCTCAGTCTTAATCTGAGACCACGGCACATAAGCTATAATATCGTTATCGCCGTATACGTAATCTTAACCTTAACGCTATCCTCTAGTCATAGCCGTCATGCGAATCATGCAACGCTGCCATCCCTAGTCATTTAGAACGTGTGGCCTCGCCCTCCCACATACCGGTGACATACGGCCACTTTGTTCTACAGCATCACCATTACCCCTTCCAATAACTCCTAAACGTCATCTAATCTAGGTACGACTACAACTTACAAGATTTAGGGGCGGATCCAGGGCTAAGGCTAGACAGTATTTCTCCCGATTTTAAGGGCACATCCCCCAAAAAGGGCACACCACTCCACAGTGAGCGCCGTGAGGCGCAAAGCACAGGCACTTGAAGCGTTTCAATAAAATATAATGCTAACTAAAAAATTCTTAATGTTTCTATACTATAGTATACTAGCCAGGCCTACTCTCTTTCACCTACGGCTACACCGCCGATAGTTTCCAACCACTGCACTACCGGCTGCCATTGCTCTCGCGGCGCGACTGTTGCACGCTTGCACTAATATAGAGAGTAGCTCTCTCTAATAGCTCTCTCTAATAGCTCTCTCTCTAATATAGAGAGTATTGCACTATAGCGGCAGTATAGT